AATCTTTATTGAACAAGTCAGGATACAATTCTCAGGAAACAGAAAAGGCGCTAATCCAATCACCGAACGCGCACGGCCAGTCTCGACGTAAGGCCTTCTCGCTAGCCCTAGTACGCAGACGAGAACAAGTCAGGATACAGGAAACAGATCACGAGTCTGAGACTCGTGATCTGATTGGCTATTGAAAACTGACTGTGCCCGTTCACTTACAGTGCACAGGGGCCTGCTCTGTTTAATCTGAAGGCCCCGAGCAAGTTTAATTTACCTGGCAACGCAAGCTAGCTGAAATATGATTGGTTAAAAACTCTACCATAATAAATAAGTTATTTATCAGTGGCTTTCAATGTTATTTAAAATAACAGCCACTCAACTAAGTGGAAATAATATATTATTATTTCCATATATTATTAATATATTATTATTATTAATATATATAATAATTTTGTTTACATATTTATGAAAATAAATAACATAAATTATAAAATAACATAAAATACATAAAAGTAAATTTACTTTTATGAGAATGTTTAGGCCAGCAGAGAAGGCCTTGCTGGCCCTCAGGGTCCGCCACTGGAAACCATGTATAGAAGTCAAGAATAATCGTTTATTTAACTATTTAAGTTACTGTAATGAGGGGTTTGGTGACAAGAAAAAAGGAATATCTTTGTTATTTATTGCAGATGAGAATTTGTAATTTTGGTTCGGATTTTAGGAAGCATCATGGAAGTTGACACGTTTGAACTGCTTTTGTGGGCCACATAAAATGATGTGGCGGGCCAGATTTTGCCCTTGAAGTTGACATCAGTGATCTATATCATTTTCCAGGCTATGGTTGTTTTTTGCTGTCTTATCTGCAAGCTACGTTAGCATTCATCTTGATTTATGTTACATTATTTGGGGTCACTTTGATACAGTGCATGCCATTTTTAAAAGGTACACTGCTTCTGTGTTAGCAACAACAAATCGGTGATGAGAACGTAACTTCCATGACACGCAGCCAAATACATAAAAAACATGAAAATAAAAACAACAGACACGCGTACACGCAGAGTGGTGTTTGGTGAAATTAAAACAAAATGGGATGTCTGTGGGACAGAAAGGTATACAAAACTGTTTTATTTTTTCTGTATTTGGCTACATGTCAGGTATGTGGCACAGATGTGTGATGTATTACTGGTAAATTCATTCTGAATGCCGTTTGGCTGTCACTGACGATTCGGATGGACTTACCGGACTGACGATGCCTGCCTCTGCTTAATGGCAATAACTAAGGGAAATAGTCTCTCTGTTTCACACGCACGCATACACACACACACGCACACACACACACACACACACACACACACACACACACACACACACACACACACACACACTAATTGGTACTGACCTGTGCCAAACAAGATGATGTTGATTTTAAGGTCACCCTTTAGGGTTTTGATGGCGTGCCGGGCAATCCTCTGGGCCCAGAGTAAAGGCTCTCCATGCATGGACTCAGATGTGTCCAGCAAAATGACAACTTCATTGGATCCAGAAGTGGGTTTGATGTTAAAGTTAGGGTAGAAAACTAACATGCAGGCCTGCGGGATTGACAATTAGGTTATTAAAAAAAAAGAATTCCTGGAGCGAAGCAGCAGATCAAGGCTGACAGATAGACACCAAACTGTCAGACCTGGCTGTCCTTGTCAGGGTGTTCCTCCACCCACATCCTGGGTAGATGTACCTCCGACAGAGTGACTGACAGCTGGAATCCTTCTGGAGTCATGACCTGCCCTGGCAGCACACTCACAACTGCCTTGCAGTCGGTCCTCTGTGGGATAACATTCACAATACATTTAATGTATTAATAACGTGGTCACAGAGAGCAAAATGATCACTGCTGTCACAGCATTTTGACGATATGTGATGTTGAAAGGCATCTGTGTGAGCTCTTGAAACACTGCAGATCACACGGTTTTGTAGGAAATATAAAAATATGAAAACTGTCCTGAAAGGTATAAAACAAAAACTGTACATTTTTAATGAAGCTGCAGATTAAAAATACATGAAAAGGAGTTTGTTCCAATCCGAGAAAAGGAATGAAGACGCTAACATGGGACCAACCTTCATCTTGACTTTGTGCGTAATGCATTGCAGGTTGGTGATGTCATACGGCATCTCAATGGACATGTCCAGGCTGAACTCTCTGAAGGGGACCAATGAATTTGTTAGCACACTTAGGTAATAAGTGCATAATATACAAGCCACATTTTTTCTGATGCACCACCGTCACATGCCAAAACAGCTGCTATTTAACAGCCAATCAGAAACTTGAGAAAGACAGCGATTTCCAGATCGCATAGCACAGCGAAGAATCAAAGTACTACATAGGACTGAAACATGGTAGCATTTCATTTTTCCACATTTTGTTATGTCATTTTTTTTTCCTCATAATTATACACACAATACCCTATAATGACAACATGAAAAACGTTTTCGGTGGGAGGAGGGGATTTTCAAAGTTATTAAATATTTTAAAAACTAAGACATATCTGTGTAAGGATTCGCAGTCTTTGCTCAACACTTTGTTGATGCACCTTTGGCGGTAATTACACAAATCTGGCACACCTATCAGTGGGCAATTAACGCCCATTCCTCCTGGCAGCACCTCTCAAGCTCCATTAGGTTGGATGGGGAGCATCACTGCAAAGCCATTTTCAGATCTATCGGGAGTTATTTGATCAGATTCAATTCTAGGCTCTGGTTGGGCCACTCAAGGACATTCACAGCATTGCCCTGAAGCAAGCAAGCTTCATTTAAAAGCCACATACAGATAATGTTAAAAACAAAATGGAAAACGAAGGATGTCATGAACAACAAATCACTACTATGTATAGCTCCCTATTACTCAGGGACGTGAGGTCAGGTGGGGCATGTGAGGCACTGGTGCATCCCCCTGCTGGACGCTCTCTGCACGTGAAGAGCAGAAAAAATAAAAGACTATGGACTGTGCTTTTGTCAGGTGGAGAGGTGATATGACAAAAGAGAAAAAGAACTGTATGGTGGAAAAGATTACTTGTGATGCCATGTCTTATGATGTAATGGAAGGTATAAGGTTAAATGAATTGAATTCCGGGAGGCCCGGTGGTTGACTGGTGAGCGAATCGGCCTCACGGTACAGCGGTGCAGGGTTTGCATGTTCTCCCTGTGCCTGTGTGGGTTTGCTCTGGGTACTCCGGTTTCCTCCCACATTCCAAAAACATGTCCCTGGGTGTGGGTGTGAGCACGGATGGTTTTTCATCTATGTGTGCCCTGCGAATGGCTGGCAACCAATCCAGGGTGTCCCCTGCCTACTGCCCGGAGACAGCTGGGAAAGGCTCCAGCACCCACCACGACCCTTGTGAGGATAAAGTGGATCTGAAAATGGATGGATGGATGAATTGAATTCCATGACAAATGGCTTAACGGTTGGCATGAATGTTTGCAATTCTAAAAATTCAAACAACAGAGTTCACCATCTTTGATTTAGGCCCTTCTGAATTTGGTTTCACCACTGAATTTATTTATTCATTCATTCATCTTCCGAACCGCTTTATCCTCACTAGGGTCGCGGGGGAGCTGGAGCCTATCCCAGCTGTCTTCGGGCAGTAGGCGGGGGACACCCCGAATCGGTTGCCATCCAATCGCAGGGCACACAGAGACGAACAAGCATGCACACCCTCACTCACACCTAGGGACAATTTAGAGTGATCAATCAGCCTGCCACGCATGTTTTTGGAATGTGTGAGGAAACCGGAGTACCCGGAGAAAACCCACACAGGCCCGGGGAGAACATGCAAACTCCACACAGGGAGGCCGGAGCTGGAATTGAACCCGGTACCTCTGCACTGTGAAGTCGACGTGCTAACCACTGGACTACAGGGCCGCCCACTGAATTTAGACTTCAACAAAATAAATGGAATTAGCCAGTGCATTACAATATAATTTTAGGTTTTGCTACCAAAGGCAAACAGAGAGAACCACAGTAAACATCCACACTAGAATGACAATTTCAGAGTTAGAAAACAGCATGATCAGATTGATTTTTTATTTCTCCTAAAGGTTGTTCAATAGAGAAAGCCAAACTGTTACTGGCACTCCAGCATTAAGGCAGTGAGTACCCAGGTGTGTCCTTTTCCGTTACCGGCTTGAGAAACCGTCGTCTTTGACGAAGTGTACAGGACTGAGGCAAAGGGAAATGGGAGGTTTTATCAATTTGAAACGGAGAGCCGGTCAGGGGTTATTTTAGTCCCTGGGGTCAGCGAGATTTCACACTTACCGTTGATTTTCTTTTTCAACACATTGCAACGCATTGCAAGCCTCCAGTAATCACGCATACATTCGTTGTCGACTTAGGCAGTTGGCATGTACACTTACACAAGAGATGTTGCCATTTGTCTTTCGAATGCCAATAAACGTGTATTACAATGGTACTGCATGTGCTGATGTTAAGTGTCTAAAATATTTAATTAATACATGGCATATTTAGTCACTCTTACAGCCAGAAAAGTCACGCCAAGTGCACGCTGGAGACCAGAACGTACAATGCTGCTGCTAGCATGTGGCAATGCTGGAAGAAACCCAGAGACCAGGGGTGCCCAATACGTCGATCGCGATCGACCAGTAGCAAGTCGGTCGCGAGTCCCAAGTCGGTCGCGAGGGGTATTGAAGGGAAAAAAACTAAACAAACCAAAAAAAAACCCCATTTGTTTGTCAGTGTGCGTGTTATGAATATGATATATTTTTGTGTTAGTGCACACTGCACCCTGATCATCTCCATCAGTCTCACTTTCACAAAAAGTATTAAATAAAATAAAATAAAAAAGCAGGTCATCTTTAACCTACGGTGGTGTGTGACCTGCATCATCGTAAGTTGTTAGCAATCAGCAGTCTGCAATTTTTATTTATTTTTTTCCCCCCAGATGGAGCCCGAGGAGATAACCGTCAGCGTTTTTTATTGTTTTTGTCTTTTGTTTTGTCACATCGTTTTGTTGTTACGTCGTGTGGACCTGATGTGGACTGTTTTCAGCATTTTTGGCCACGACATTCGTCAAAGAAGAAGAATTTTTTTTTTCGGTTTTTTTTGCTGTCTTCTACAACATCTACTTTCATGCAAACCTTGTACTTGCTGCGTCATCTGTCACACACACTTTGTCCACGGTCACCTATTGAAAACACAAATACATCTGAGTTAGACTAAATCTGGCTTTCTTTCCACTTTATTGAGCCTAAAAAAATATTTTAAAAAAATGCACAATTTTCTATTTTAATTCAAGCCAGGCCTGTGTTACCTGTGTAGTCTGGTTGAGCGCTGCACTTTCCTGCCACGGTGCAACACTACTAGGCAGGGTGAAGAAAACACTCCCGTCCTTGATGATGAGCTCGGACACAAAGGTCACTTTAATGAGCACGCTGGCACCAGGTGGCAGGTTGCCCACGCTGATGGTGAAAATGTCCTGCAAGAAATGGTGTAGAGGCCACATTGGAGGTGATACCAAGTTTATTGCCTATTTGTGAGTGTGGATGTGTGTGAGTGAGCACGGGTGTGTGTGCATGTGTGGAGTGCTTACTGGGGCATCCTGGTCCATGAGGTAGGCTCCATGGCCCTTCTCTATTGCCCGTTTGTACTCCTTACGAGCTCGTTCTTTCTTCTTCACCTGACAGTCAAGGACATGCATGTTAATTAGTGTTGAAATCATCAGACAACAAGGCTGCGTTGACAAGCTACTGTGCCAACAAGGCTTCAATTCCAGATTAGTGCCTGTATCTGATTGATTAGACTCTCCATTCTGTTCTGTTCATAGTTTAAAGTCTTAAATCAATAAGATGTTCATCAAAAAGATGTCAAATGTGTGTCGTGTGTGATTTGCTCTTATTTGGGCTTTTGGTGACCTTTTCGTCATACTTTTTCAAAAGATAGACTATCACGCAAAACAGCAGTACGCCACTCAAGAGTTTAGTTTTGGATTAACTCTGTGCTGCTGTTTTATCTATTTTATTTTTTGGGGTGGGGGGTATTCAGTCACACATTTCAAAAGAAGGATCAGTCTCAATATGCTGTTTTGAGGAGACCAACGTGAGCAGAGAAGAAAAATATACACCAAAAGTTAGGTGAAATATGTGAAAAAAAGACTGGTTTTACCATACAGTGCTATAAAATAGTATTTGCCCTCTTCCTGATTTCTGTTTTATTTGCATGTTTATCATATACAAAGGTTTCAGTTCATCAAACCAATTTTAATATCACACAGAGACTACCCAAGTGCCGATTTCATTTATTAAAGCACAAAAAAAAAACTCCAAAACTACCTGTCTCTCTGTGAAAAAGTTATTATTAATTTACAAAGTAACTGTGACCAACAACAGTTTGGGAAAGCTGAGTTCAATTTCACATCCAAGCACCACATTTGTTGAATCAAGAAATCACAGAAACAGAATCTGGGGGACTAAGTAGGCTACAAGCTCTCAAGAAACCAACGCATCATGCCACGATCCGAAGAAATTCAAGAAGAAATTAGAAAAAAGTTATTGAAATCTATAAGTCTGGAAAAGACTACAAAGCCATTTCCAAGAGACTGGGGCTTCAGCAAATCACTGTCTGAGTCATTATCCACTAATGGAGAAAACTGGGATCAGTCTCAAACTTTCCCAGGAGTGGTCAACCAGCTAAAATTACTGCAACAGCGTGACGACGACTCATCCAGGAGCTTGCAAAAGAAGCTAGAACAACACCCAAAGAATTCCAGACCTCGCTGTTCTAACTTCAGATCAGTGTTCACAGCTCTTTCATAAGAAAGGCACTGGCCAAAAATGACATCCATGGGAGAGTTACCAGGTGAAAACCACTGCTGTCCAAGAAGAACACAAAAAAACATTTGCAAAAAGACATTGATGATCCTCAAGACTTTTGGAAAAACATTCTGTGGACTGACGGGTCAAAAACTGAACTTTTTGGAAGATGTGCAGATGTCTGATAAAAAGAACATTATGCCAACACTGGAGCATGGTGGTGGCAGTGTAATGGTCTGTGGATGCTTTGCTTCCTCCAGACCAGGACAACTTGCTGTGATTGATGGGACAATGAATTCTGCTGTCTGCCAGAAAATCTGGAAGGAGAACGTCTGAGAATCAGCAAGTGCAAGCGCTCTTGGATCATGCAACAGGACAATGATCCGAAACACACCAGCAAGTCCACCTCTGAATGGAAAAAAAAAAAAAAAAAAAAACGGGGGGAGTGGCCAAGTCAAAGTCCTGATTTGAATCCAATTGAGATTCTGCGGAATGAGATGGTAGAAAACCCTCCAATATGGCGGAGTTGAAACAATTCTGCAAAGAAAAGTGAGACACAATTCCTCCAGAGCAACGTGAATGACTCAGTGACAATTATTCCAAACGCTTCATTTCAGTTATTGCTGCCAAGCGTGGCACAACCCATTATTAGGTTCAGTGGGCAATTACTTTTTCACATAGGGTCAGAAAGGTTTGGACTTTTTTTTTGTGCCTTAATAAATTAAATTGGCATTCAGAAACTACATTTTGTATTTCGTTGGGGTTGTCTCTGTGTGATATTAAAATTGGTTTTATGAACTGAAATGTTAGTGTGGGATAAATATAAAAATCAGGAAGGGGCAAATACTTTTTCACGGCACTGTATGTGTCATCAGATGTTATCAAAGTAACAGTATGTCTGTTTTGTTGTTTTGTCAATGGTGAACCTTTTCTTGCACATGTATGACAGTTAAGCATGTGGGCTTAAGAAAAAGCAAAAAATGACTTATGACGTTTTTTCAGGCCCATCCATCAGTCCAGTTTCTATGCTACTGATCCACATTTGGGTGGTACGGAACTGCAGTCAATCCCAGCTGACTTCACTGATAACATTCAATCACATGCAACATATAGACCAGTGGTTCTGAACCTGGGTTCGATCGAACACTAGGGGTTTGGTGAATTGGTCTCAGGGCTTCGATGGAGCCTCTGCCATGGAGGTTAAGACACACCTGACCCAAGATGTCAATTAGTTATGACACGCCGCCTGGCCATCGCTGGCTGCAGATGATCACATGACATTGCTTGTCGAATCAGTGCTGTGGGAAATTTAGTTCGCTCAGTAGTCACCGTGTGACTGTCATGATCGTACATCATACAATTAAAAAAAAAAAACTACACTTTTCCCATCTAATTTTATTGACTTTTTTCTGTTTTTAATAAATGTGCTTTTTAATGTCTGGAATTTGTAAAAATTCACATTTTTATTTTTCACTAATTAAGAGTTCGGTGAATGTGCATATGAACTGGTTGGGTTCGGTCCCTCTAACAATGTTAAGAACCACACATTTAGACACACAACCATTTACACCTCTGAACAAATTCAAGTCTTTAATTAACGTTGTGTACATTTTTGAAATGTGGGAGAAAAATTGGTTTCTACAGAAAACCAACACTATATGCAATCTCTAAACCGAGACATGGCACATCTTCTGACCGTGTGACATGTTAATCACTACTTCATCCTGCAGCCTTTATGAAAATTTAAGCCAGTACATTTGCAAAATAAATTTAACTGGGCTCCTTGAGGGAACAACATGGAATTTTGATCACTTGAAAACAACATCTAAAGCCAGCCTTCGCTTGTTATGGTTTCTTTAGCTGAAAGTACATTTTAAGATAATTTACCTGTCCCACCACATGTTTCCCATTTATGAAGGCTTCAAATCCACACACAGCTGCATATTCGTCCAAAGGGAAGACATACTTTGCTTCAATGGGGACGTTGCTCAGATTAGTGTACCTTTGGAAGATGATGACCTACAAAAAGCATAAAATAAATGTCTGTCTTCCAGGATGCTGCAACCTGAAGACATATAAATAAAGACACTTAGTGTGAAAATGCTCTTACATGTGAGAGCAAATCCATCAACTTGCACTTCACGTGTACACCCAGCAGGGGGAGCTGCTGCCCTGAGCTGTCCAGCAGTCCTGAAGTCACGTCGTCCAATGGGTTTTTTATGCTTCCAATACCTTCATCATCATCAGGAAGGACCACTTCGAAAATCACACACACACGCACACACGCACACACACACACACACACACACACACACACACACACAATGTCATGATCTCCCCTCCTGAGTGTTACAGGCAATGCCAGCATATTTAAATAAGACCTCTATTTTCTGTACAAAGATCAAACTGGCCTATAGAAGGAGTTGTTCTCATCCATTGCACTCCTTTGTTATGATAAATACTTTCCAATGCAGCTCGATGACATGCGCGCTTGCCGTGGGGATGGTAGGATGGTCCATTAAGTCTTCGATCAGTTTGGGAGTTGTTACTGTAGTAAAAACTTGTGCTCAGCTTCTTTGCCAACTGATCCTGAGAGAAAACTCTTGGCAAAGGAACTTTTACTGCCAATTAGGAGCAATGCTACAATAGCAACCTTTGTGAACGTGGCCCCTGAGGTTCTGCAGCGTGAAACCACTTTTGTATTTTTATTTATTTCTTTTACAGCGTTAGCAGCTTGAATAGAAACAGCAACGAATAGCATCTTGTGGAAATGAGAGCTCATGATATATGTTTTTAAAGAGAAGACACTTAAGGGTGACCTATTAATGACTCCTCCAATGAAAAAAAAAAAATCTAAGTGACTACATCGCAAAACTAAGCAAGTGCTGCACAGTGCTCACCTGGATCAGCAGGGGGCAGACAAGACTCAGCCGACGTGTCTATAGCTGGGTTGAAAGCCTTGAGTTGGTCTCCATCAGTGCTGAACTGGACAACATATTTCAGCTTGACCTGATCCGGACTGTACACCACGTACTCATCACCCTGGAGCATGGAATGGAAAAACATTGGCTTCAGCCATATTTGAACCATAAACCTTCACTCTAAATGGAATTAGATCGAGATGTCATTGTGACAACACAGAACGACATAGTTCCCCTTGCCTTACCGCAACCCTATCAGTTCAGCTAGGTTAATTATTGAGGAAATTAATATCTATCCATCCATTTCCTGTGTTGCTTGTCCTTACTAAGCCAGTGAATGAGCTGGGGCCTATACCAGTTGACTATGGGCGAGAGGCGGGATACACTCTGATTTGGTCGCTAGTCTATCGAGGGCACACAGACAAAGCAACATTCACACCTACGGGCAATTTAGAGTCTGCATTTAACGGGGAAGGAAATGTTTTTAGAATGTGGGAGGAAAACAGAGAATGGGGAGAAAAGTCACGCAACAATGGGGAGAACATGCAACCTCCACATAGAATGGCCAGAACCTGGAGCCTGGATTTGACACACATTTGTGATCTCCCAAGCCACCTTTACAGCATGTGGAGGTCTGCTTGGTGCTTTGCATCCTTGATCCCCCGTCGGACACGAGCAAATCAGTTTCTTCTTCTGCCATCATATCAGTGACCCTCTCACATGCCGCATTTCAATGAGAGAAGCTGCTTCGATTGGCCATTAAACAATACTACATGGGGGTTAAAAAAAAAAAAAAAACTATCTATATCCATAGAGCTCAGAATCGGTCTACCTGCACCGCGAACAAACCCACTAAAATCACATTACGCCTCCTGCGCCACAAAAAACAAAAACAAAAATACATTGCAGCAGCTGAAAGCAGGCCCTCGGTCAGCTGGAATGCCCAGCATGGCTAAATTCCCAAACACGCTAAAGGAGGTTTGCACCTGCACGAAAATCAAGATGCACCAGTTTTTACGCCGAGTACATGCGCACCGTCTACGAAAACAGAGCCCACAGAGCCCAAAAAGGAAAAATGTGAAGCTCGGCAGAGTAGAAAAGGAACAGAGGAAAATGCTGTCTCGCTGCTCAGTAAAATATGGTTGCACAGAACAATATAAGCAATATTTGAAGGACACAAATAAAATTTACCAAGCGGATCCTAATGGAAATGCACTTATTATTTTAGCTACACCCACACCACTGTGGCTCATTAAAATCTATAAAATACCGCCATTTCGTTCACCCTCTATTCTTTATTTTAGATGCACAAGACAGTGGTTACTATTATGCTTTTATCACTGGTAGGTCTACTACTCAAAACATAGCTTGTTAATAACGTTTTTATGACAATGACAGGAAAAAAATATATTTGCTTCACATTGTTTACCTATTGTTATTCAAATGATGTGTTGAAATTTGAACAACTTCGAGATAAACAAGCATCACAGGGCTGATTGTGTTCTGTTTTGGACGTTCCACTGTGAGGGCAAATCGATAATTCACTCATCATATGACTGTAAATCTAATAAGATGCAATGCAACGAGCTGTTAACACACAAATCTGCCTGTACAATGAAAATACTGGAACAGCATTAATAATTAACGCCATCAGACAAACTAAACTATTTAATCACACAGACAAAATTTCAGCCCAACCTCAAACTCTGAGTTAACCATGGCTGTGCGGCGGATGCCGTGTACACTGTTGTGTCCCTCAGGGGCCTGAGCCAGAGTGGGATCTCTCTGGTAAAGCTCCAGGCAGCGCCCCAGGGCCACGTCACACACCAGCAGCAGCCGAGAGCCGTCCGAGACGCTGGGTTTAGTGTACTTTAGGCAGGTGCTGTATGAAGGGTGGAGGAGGACATGCGTATGACGATGGTTTGTGAAGGTGAAATGATGAAACAATGCACAGCAGTCCAGGGCTGAAGAACAACATTTAAAGGAATTTTCTTAATGCTTACTGACCGCATGCTATCGCTGAAGTATATGCCATTTCCAAGACTGCCAGCATCTGTTCGTTCAATCCCATGATGTTCCACTCCAACACAAGGTAGCAGCAAACCACTAATAGGAGAGTGAAGGTCAAACATATCGATTGTTGGTTTGTAGAAAATGCCATCGGTGAAAATGAGCAAATAATGGACATTTCCCCCCACAAAATGTATTTTTTAGCACGAAATTATATTACACAAGCAAACAGCAGATCTTTAGAGAGACAGCCCGAAACATTGTCTTTTAACCCTTTCAGGGACAGTGGTTACCACAGTGGACACCTTATCATGTTATAAGGTTACAGGGTACATGAAAGGGTTAACAGTATCATTACCTTTCTTCACTGCTCCCAGGTTGTGGCTTTTAAAGGTCCATAGAATGGAGTGTATTAAAGTCAGAGTAAGGAGCCTACCATGCAGTGAATCATCTAAGATGCACAATTTGTCATCTGTGTGTTGTGTGTGTATTGCCGATATGTGCATGTATGTGTTTGTCATGCGTAAACTCACCGGGACATAATTCCAACAAAGTTGCTGGCACTGGAGGAGTGGAGGAGGGACTTGATGTTGCCGAGTTTGCCTTTAAAGGTCTGAAGCTCCACGGCTCTGCTGACACGTAACACCTGATGGATCTGCACAGCTCTGAAAAAAGGCAAATAAGGTAGGCATTTACTTTACAGGTAGCTCTTATGAATCAAAAGTAAGCTTTTATCAGCCTGCTGGGATCAGTCAAGCCTGAAGCAGACCCACAGGAGCTGTGGCTGAAAAGGCCCCTGTGGAGATGAAACTGCAGAGCGTGGTTCCAAATCCTTGCGCTAGTCATCTATTGTGTTTGTCAGAAAAGCTTAAAATGTCGTGTGTTAAAGAAACTTGCTACCATGAATGGCTATCCACAATAAGGTGGGATGGACGACTGCACGCTTTGCACAACAGATCTTTTGCTGAGCTACACCAACTAACAGACTGGCCAATCACGGCACAGCACTGGACAGAGATTCAGCAGTTTCCTGGTGGTGCTCCGATTTATTCAATGATACACTTTATAATTTCAAAATGTTAGCTATGTCTAACTGTTCAGAGAGAGAGAGAGAGAGAGAGAGAGAGAGAGATGATAGCTTTTACAAATAACGTGCCGTGCGACTGACTGACAACCAGTTCAGGGTGTATTCTGCCTTTCGCCTGAAATCAGCTGGGATGGCTCCTGCATCACCTGCAACCATGTTCAGGATAAGCAGTGTTGAAAATGGCAGGATTTTACATGGAACAAATTTATTTTTAATGATCAATCTAGAGCGGCCCGTTCGACTGGTTAGTGTGTCGGCCTCACAGTGCAGAGGTGCAGGGTTTGATTCCGGCTCCGGACTTCCTGTGTGGAGTTTGCATGTACTAAGCGTGCCTGCATGGAATTTCTCCGGGTTTTCCCCCACATTCTAAAAAAACATGCGTGGCACGTGGTTACAATAACATAAAGGGCGGATCGACTGAAGATTAGAGTTTGGTTCAGCTTGAAAAAAAAATGACGGACTGACGATGATGGACGGGTGCCCATTCTTCTGACGAATGACGAATGAAGGACTGGCAAAATTTTGTAAATCGCCCACCTCTGGCCATTTGCAACTTCTGAACATCATATATCGTTACCCTCATTAAGAGAAACTCACTGTACTGTTACTGTTGGTAGCAATAATTAAGCACACAATTACAATGGTGTTCGCTGATATTCTCCTTCCTTAATCATCAGGTTATGCGGTGGTTGACATTTGCTGTGCGATCTGGATGTTACTTTAGCTTTTATAAGATAAGATATCCTTTATTTGTCCCACATTGGGGAAATTTACAGTCTACAGCAGCAAGATTGGGTAGAAAGAAGAAAGAAGAAAAACATCTTGAGTTGTTTTGCATGATTTCCTTGTGGTGCTTTGATAGAATGGAATCGATAAAACTTTCTCACCTGTCTTTGACTAGAGATGACACAGTGCGATATTCGCGGCAGCCAGGCTCGACCGTTTCAATGCTGCACCTCAGGGCGCGAAACTTGCCAATGCAGGAAGGGGCGGGGCTTCTCAGAGTCATCTCACTCACGTTCAGGATGTCTCGAATAAGCTAGACCAGGATCAGCAGTGAATCTCTCGTCAGTCTTGATGAGAGCCGTGTGTGTGGCGGAGAGACAAGTGCATTTTTTTGGTGCATATGCGGTAGATGAGTCATTTGACATGAAAAAATGAAACAAAGGAGGATCCTCAGTCCTTCAACAAATGTTTTTGGTGAATGCGTGCAGGATTTAACTGCCAAAAACAACACCATCTCAGTCATTCTGGTTTAAATTAGAACAACAGTGTGTAGTGACTGGACCTCCATAAATCGTATTAATGCTATACTGGCATGCAATGAGGAGTGCTGCCTCTCTCTCCTTTATTTACGGGAATCACCCCTGCAGGAGGAGAATTGGGTCCACATGTCACGTTTGGGGACGCTCAGCCTCCTTTGAACTTTGCTACATAGACCCCACGTTCCTCCCTCCTCATTTTGTCACATCTAACAGGACTGCAAAATATTTACCCTAGTTGATATGAATCAATTACGCAGTGCAAACAAACATGACTCGGTCCCAGTTTTCAGTTTCAAGCTAGGTATAAGAGGCGTACAGTGCCTTGAAAAAGTATTCCTACTCCTTGGTCTTTTTCACATTCTGCGAGCATGCAATCACAACTTTGAAGGTGTTTTATAGAGATTATATGTTACTGACCAACACAAAGTTGAGCAATTGTGAAACGGAATGACAAACCCAAAAAATGGTTTGCATTTTTACACAGCCATGTGTTTTCTGAAACACGTTAACACCAAAATAAGTAAATAAAAGTCCAACTATGTGTAATTTAACCTCAATATAGGTACACCTGTTCTGTGAAGGTATCAGTGGTTCGTATCATAAATATTCCCTGCTCTGAACATCATCCAAAAACGGTAAAAGTATGGCACAACTCCAAAACTACCAAGACACAGACCGTACGTGCACCGAAACTGAGGGAGCGACCGAGGGGAACACTCGTGAGAGAAGCAGCCAAGAGGCCTATGGTCACTCGAGAAGCTGCAGAAATCCACAGTCCAGTTGGGAGAATGTGTCCATGGGACAACGATAAGTTGTGCGCTCCACAAATATGACGTTTATGGAAGAGTGGCTTGAGGAAAGACTCTGATGAACGAGAGGCACAAAAAAAAAATAAAAAAATGTAGGGGACACTGCAGAAATGTGGCAGAAGGTGCTTTAGTCACATGAGACTAATTGTGGTCAATTTTTCATCAGTACGTGTGGTGGAAAACTAACACTGCTCATCACCCTGAGCAAGGTGGTGGTAAAAATCATGCTGTGGGGATGATTTCCTTCAGCAGGCACAGGGAAGGAAACTTGTCAGAGTTGATGGGAAGATGTATGGAGATATACACAGGGCAATCCTGCAAGAAGACCTGATCAAGGCTACAAAACATTTCAGACTGAGAAGGAGATTAATCTTCCAGCAAACCAATGTCCCCCAATCAAATGTGTGGAAGTAGTCTTACTTTGTGCACAAGTGGAACACATATGCAAAATCATCATTGGATTCATGACACGTGCGAATCGGCCCGTTTTCTTTGCACTACCGTGTGCCTCTAAATGAATCAGAATTCATGTTAAATGACAGCTCTTGCTCACATAGCTCTAATTTGCATAAACCCCACCTCTTTTTCCCTAAAAAAGGGCCCCAGCTGGACAGATCTTAGCCAATTCGCGAGAGTCGGCCCCAAAATTGTTATAGCTTTCTTCCTCTTGATCCGAAAAGATCAGCATCATCGGAAAGCTTGCTCAACGTAGAAACTGATGACAAATAATAACATCATCAATAATTTTTAACCGATCCTAATGTTATATTAGAGAATGCTGCACACCAAACATGGAGAGACAAATAAATAAAGTGCTGAGAATGAACACACAAGTTGTTAAAATAGACAATAAATATAGCGGAGCAAAAAGGTTTTTCTAAGTTGATAAAACTCAATTGACATTAGCGCTGGTGACTTCAGTGACAATGTCTGTGCCTTTAATCTTCTTCACGGTGGACAGTAAATTTCTGGAAGTGTTGTAAGATACAGAATTTGTAGCGTGCATATGTACGTGATCGATCTGAACACTTGGAAGTCTTGAATTAGCCAGGAAATGTCAGCGGTTCGATGGGTTTTCCGGAGATGGAACCGAAGGATGCCCATGCATTCTTCTCTTGAAAACACACATGTATAGTACAGTACATATGCACATATACACACTTGAAAGGCATGGCGTGATGAGAAGTGCACTTCGCTGTTATTACATTGGTCCACTCGTTCCAAAATTCATGATTGAAGTTCCTGATATTATTGTTAAAAGAATTATGATTGGTTTTATTAATGACTCTTAGTTTCAATACGTTTGTGCATCTTGGGTAAAAGATGTGTGTTTGATGCTTATTCAAAAGTTGATTCGTCACTATTTGTGCATAAGCATGGTCTGAAGAGGTTTCATATTTCAGAATACTAACATATACATGTGCAAAGATATTGATGAATCACAGATTTGAGTACATGCAGTGTTAGTGACCCTGAACATACATCGAATGACCTAGTCAAAGTCCACGCCTAAAGCATCTGTGTCAAGAATTGAAAACTGCTCTTCACAGATGTTCTCCATCTGATCTGGCTGAGCTTGATCTTTTTTTTGTCAAGAAGAATGGGCAAAAATGTCAATGTTTAGATGGGTGGAGTTGATAGAGACCTGCTCCAAAAGATGAGCAGCAGTAACAGCAGCAAAACGTCGCTGTACAAAGTATTGATGCAGGGGGACTGAATATAAATGTACACCACATTGACAGGTAAGAAACGTGGCAAAATGTGAAAAAGTTCAAGGCATGTGAACGCTTTTTCATAGCACTGGCTCTCAACCTCATGTGAGACAAACAAATACCGATTATACGACTGAAAATGAAAAGACACAGACTGTTATTCTTAGCTAAATATCCAAATTATGATCAACGGATAAGATAGGATAGATGGATGGATGGCTTTATCACTTCTATCACTGCTCCTTTGTGTTTAAAATACATTTCACTTCAGAGTTGTAGGGATGGAAGTGAAACAATATTTAAGGGTATTTTAATGCTATTGGTGAGCGTAGTCTTTTTTTTTTTCGTGCGCAGTCAATAAATTTGACCTGTAAGGATCTAACACGTGACAATTAGAAAAAGTGAACCAATTATACATGAATTGAGATGAAGGCAGCTAAATAAAAACATATAAATGGGTATATTCTTTGTTGTTGAAGGCTGTCAGGGTTTCAAATGTTCAAAAGCAGAAAAAGAGCATGCTTGAGGGTATTTTTGTGAGTTCATCAAAGTGGTTTCGACAGGCTTCAGAAGCAGAAGAAAGCACAACCAAATTGAGGAGGCAAAACAAAACCCTTTTGGGCTGTGGTTTGTTACAAGCCAGCAATATTAATTACAATGGGTGGTTATCTGTTGCAGCAGTGCGAATTGTGGCCTGGAATACACTTAGGAGAACTCCACTTCCTAGTCTTATAATTGTTGTGTACTTATTTGTTTATATGACACAAGGTGGTCATGTGCATTTTGTCATACCTGACAGAGGTCCAGTTTTTCAGAGATAACCTTGGGACTGCAACCTTGACCAATATATTTGTGTGGCAGCAGGGCGTAGACTTGAAACAGAAGAGAGAGCGCGGCGGCACTGTTGACTTCATTCAGTTTCCTTTGCGCTTCAATCAACAGTCCCTCAGCTCTGCTCACCTAATAACACAGACAGGATGGAACACAAGGACAGTGAATGTAGAATCCCCTATCTGTTTGACTCAATGTGGATTTGGCCTTCCTGTGTAGCGTTTGATTTTTGAAAACAAAATTAAGCAAAATGAAACCTTGCACACTCAGTTCATCGAAGACGAAAGAATATCAGAAGTTTTAAAAAACATCTATGTCAGCTTCAGTGGCAAATATATTGAGCACTGTTTTGGCAGACTGGTACCTGTGCGTTTGCCGTAAAATCGGGCGTAACTTCATTTTTGTGCCAGTGCAAGTCTAGTCCAGTGGTTCTAAAATTTTATGTTCATCCAAAAATGTTTTGCACTGGTTTGGGTGAGCTTGGCTGAAAAAAAAAAATTCACAGGGGGTACATCATTGAAAACAGGTTGGGAACCACTGCAGTCTACCATGTTTGGGGTTGTGTTGCACCTCTCCAGATTTTCCACGGCACATAGTTGCCTCGCCCCTGACTCATCTGAGAATTTGGTCACAGGAAGTAGTCTGCACTTGTCATAAAAAAGGGCGCATCGTCATTTTCGTGCCGGGGCAATGGACTACTACAACATGTTTGTGAATTTGGTACACGCGCTACGACTCACTGGGCGTCTGCTATTCGCCGCTCTGCGAATATGTATGGTGAATGTTACCAGATTCAATTCCTAAATATGACACCAGCATGGGACAATCCCTCTGAATCATTGTAAAAATCAATTCAATGAACATATTATAATGATAATCATCCAAAAGACATTTTCTAAGCACCCCCGTCACTATTGTTGGTTAAAATTCAGACGCACGATCAGGGGTGCAAGTCGGTCTCCTATTGCCCATCAGCAAGGGAAGATATTGCAATGTAATGCATGAATCCCAAAGAGTCCATTTGTGTTTCCACAACGTCAAGCACGGACTCGGACATCGCGCCCCTGCGACTACCCTGATTTGAATGCAAATGAGGGATGCCACGACAATTGGTCGGAAAAAAATGGCACATAAAGGTGCAAACACCCCTTTACGCCCAATTCTACTGGCACAATGTGTAGCTAAACACCACAAGAAAGGAAAGTGTGCACAGTTAGACTGTGTTTTGCGCTACACTTGCATTCGGAACGAAAATAGACCCCGTTGTCTTCCATGTTTACAAACGGACTAAGCCATACTTAATAAATAAATAAATACATGAATTAAAAAAAAAAAAAAAAAAAAAAAAGCAAAGAAATGTGTCGGAAAAGCCCCAGGACTAGTATTAGACAAAATATTATTGACAATCCTACCTACAAACTCAGAGTTGTCCCCTTTAATGTGAGCCACACAATCAACCGGCATGTGTACACATATCGCAAAAAGTTAGGGACATTTGGCTTTCAGGTGAAATTTCAGGACGGCCCTTAAGAACCATTCAGACCTTCACAGGTGAACTTAATGTGACCTTCTCTAAGCTTTTGAATGCATATGTCCAAATGTTAAATGTCTCAGTACCTTAGTTGCTGTTCTCCAACGGGGACCTTCATGGCAAAATTCACAACAGGTGTTTGATCCTTGAATCGACCAATAAATATCCTGGTTCAATCAGAGCTTGTGTTTAAACAGCTGTTATCATTCTGTTCACATTTTGACATTATGAGACGAAGACGACACCTAACAATGGATCCACTTGCCATTGTTATGTTTCAAACGGGATGTTCTCAGACAGAAGTGGCCACTGAGCTTAGTGTCACAGAGTGTCATCAGCAGGTTGCAACAGAGACACAGAAAGACTGAAAGAATCACAGAAAGTGTTATGGTTTTGTTTAGGTTACATTTGGTTTTGTGCCCTTTCTGACTGCACCTGTTCCCTTGTTCTCGTCATCCGTGTCCCTTGTGTTGAACCACTCAGCTCCCTCAACCCTTTGTGTCTTGTCCAGAAGTTTCTCGTTGTCTCGTCACTAAGCTTGTATTTAGCTCCCTGGGTTCTGTCAGTCTTTGTTGGATCATTGTCTGTGTCAAGTCTGTGAGTCCGTGAGTGTCTGTGTGCTCCTGTCATGTTTTGTTTTTCTGTCATAGGTTTTTGTTACTTTGGTTCCTATGGTTTTCTGGACTTTGAGTATTTGAGTGAGGTTTTTTTTTTTTTTTTTTTTTTTTAATCCCTCGCTACTTCGCGATTCACTTATTGCGGATTCAGTGCATTGCGGATTTTTCAAAAATATTCATTTAAAAAAAAAAACAGCGAAAATGCCGCAAAAGGAATACGAGAGTCAGCAAAACAACAGCGAGTCACATAGAGCAACACATACAGTACTATGCATGTATACCATTAAATTTGGCCTTATGAATATATATACTCATACACATGTACTTATACCTGTACATCCATTGGGGGCGGGGGGTACCTACTTCGCGGATTTTCCTCTTTCGCGGGGGGTTCTGGTCCCCATTACCTGCGATAAGCGAGGGATCGCTGTACTCCTGTTTGTATTTTTGTTCAATACAACTTGGACAGTCAACCCTGCTCCTAAGTACTACATGTATATTTCATGATTACTGCATTTTGTTATTTATACACTAACCTAATCTAATTTATACATGTCCTGTTTGTATTTTTGTTCAATACAACTTGGACAGTCAACCCTGCTCCTCCCTGCCTCCTTGCTTTTTGGGGTCCTGCAACTACCACCTTGTAAAATTTGACAGAAAGATGTAGAGGTGGACATCCTTTGGCCACATCCCATGCTGATGACCGCTCCATTGGGAACAATGACCTGATAGAATCGGATGATGAATGCACCTCAAATGCAGGCACGTATGAGGGAGGTTAGAGGCACCCAAGTGTCATGTCAGACCATTCGAAACCGTTTACATCAGCCCAGTCTGCGTGCTAGACGACCTGCAAGGGTACCTGACCACACCACCGGGCACAGGCATTACCGTCTTGCATGGGCCATGGAGCATTTACGCTGGAAGAGGGACCAGTGTGCCTCAGTGGTCTCTGACGAAAGCCGATTCACATTGAGCAAAAATGATGGCCACCAACGATGCAAGGAGAGGGCTATGCATCAGCCACTGTTGTCACCAGATGAGCTTTTGGTGGTGGCGGGGTTACAGTGTGGGCAGGTGCGTCCAGTCGGGACAGAACTGCCCTACACTTTGTGAATGGTACAGTGAGAAGCCCAAACTACCTGAATAACATTATTCACTCATTCAAACACTTTGACGTCTAAAAGCGTCAATTAACGCATAGTCCCCACCTCCCCATGATGTCTAAAGGCGTCAATCACGTTTTTTCATGCGGGAGTGTGCAAGAGAATCTAATGCAACTTCTCACTGAACGAGCAGGCTTGACTGCAATGTTAAATAGTAAAAAATGGCCAACAGGTGGCAGTGGTGCAAAAGCGCAATGAACTTGAAATGATGCTTGAAATGCATGCTTTTACAAAAAGCAAATTTTCTCTGGATTTCTGAAGAAAATCTGCCTTTTCCATAAAACTTCACAATTTTCTAAACCTGATATCCAACGAACAGAGAAAGATAGAAACAAACTTTTTTTTTCTGCTGAAAGAAGAGAGTCTCATCTTTCTTCTGACAGGTCGCATGTTTATATAGCCGTAGAACAGAAAATTCTGTGGGCCTTGCAAATCAGTCAAAATTCAGTAAAATGTGAGGGATTGAGGGGGTTGCTCCAGTGAAAAAGGGCGGTATTCAATTTGTTAATCCAGTGATTATGCCCCCATATTAACAACACGGGCCTAATTTCATCTTCATGGACTGCAACGCTCCATCTTATTGAGGTTGCGTCATCAGGACACAGCTGTTGGAGGCTGGTGTACCTCAAATGTAATGGCTTGCACTTTCTCCAGTTCTGAATCCTATTGAAAACCTGTGTGATCAGCTGAGTCGCCGTGTAGAGGCTCGAAACTCAGCACCCCAGAACCTCAATGACCTGAGGGCTGCCCGACAAGAAAAGTGGGATGGCAGGCCACGGCAGACAATAAGTCACCTTGTGAACAGCATGAGTCGTTGTCCAGCTGTAATTGATGCTCAAAGGCACATGATGAGTTATTAAGGCATTGAAATTTTTTGTTGTGGTGTACCCACCGTTGCTGTTAACTTTTGTTTCAATGAATTGTTTGAGATGACAAAACCACCGGAGCATCCTTCGACTTAAATTACCTATTTTCATGATATCACTGTCGCATGAACTTTTTATATTTTCCATATATTTCACCTGAAAGCCAAATATCACTATATTTTGTGAAACCACTGGTGGACCTTTTCTGACAAGTCAGAACTGTATATTGGGTTTATTGAAGATATTAGTGAAGATAAATCAATATTCACCATCTTTTCTGGGTTTGCAAAAAACAACGCACTGATCGTGGTACAATCAGGAAAGTCTTACGTCATTGAGGCTGAGTTTGCTAACAGGAACTTTGAGGATGTTGCCTAGGCAACCCAGGGCCTCAGTCCACAGCAGCTCCACAAAGACGGCCACGTCTCGTGACAAGACTCCGGTGTTCAGCTTCTCCTCCAGCAGCAGCTGCCAGTTGAAAAAGCCACACGTCAATCAGCAGCATAATAGTGACAGACACGATTTGCCAGGTTGTTGAGTAACCTCGTGACATTTGAAACTGTGTCCTCTGCACCTTAAGTGGCATCAGCCCATTGATGTGTGAATGCTACTCAAGTGTGCAATGACCATTTATTCCTGTGAAGCTTACTCATCCTTCCACTAAAATCTGTGATAGGAACGTTTTCCTTGATAATTTATAATAACGTTATCATTATGAAAGATGACTTGAGTTCATTTTCCCTGAATTGCTATGATACATTGGCTGGCAGTTCAGTGTGTACCCCGCCGACTGCCCAAAGACGGCTGGGATATGTTCCAGCACGGCCCGCGACCCTTGTGAGAATAAGCGAATCAGAAAATGGATGGATGGATGGATGGCTATGATAGATAATGATTGAAGTATATCATATTTAAAAATCCCTTACACATAGCTAATTGTAAGACAACCAATATACTGTATAAAATTGTCGGAAGTCACTTATAACTGTCTATCAATGCATTCAAACCTTAATTGTTCATTTTGGCTCAATGGCTTTATATTGATTTGTGATTTAACAAGCAGTACACTTTTCCCAGTATAAACCGGTTATTGGTCAATTGCATCAACATCTGAAGGCATGATGACAACATTGTGAATCTGGAAATCCTTTAAATTAACAAGACCTTGAATTTGTTGTGCGACTAAATGTGGTGTGTATTTGATCTTACTACTGGTGAACGTTGACCCAAGAAAAACTGCTTCATAACATTAACTGCCACCAAAAACAATTCAGTTGAGCAGCTGTCAAACTATTAAATATCCTCCAGGTTTTGGGAAAAACTGGGGGAAAAAAATATATAAAATAAAACATTTGGCGATGTGATTTAAGACTGGCGGCCCAGTGGACCAGTGGTTAGTGCGTTGACCTCACAGTGCAGAGGTACCGGGTTCAATTCTAGCTCCGGCCTCCCTGTGTGGAGTTTGCATGTTCTCCCCAGGCCTGCGTGGGTTTTCTCCGGGTACTCCGGTTTCCTCCCACATTCCAAAAACATGCATGGTAGGCTGATTGAACACTCTAAATCAGGGGTGCCCATTACGTTGATCACGATCGACCGGTAGATCACGGACTCGTCCCAAGTTGATTGCGAGGGGTGTAGAGGATAAAAACAACAAACAACCATTTGTGTGTCTTTGTGCATGTTAGTAATATATTTTTGGTGTTAATGTACACTAATCATTCTATCAGTGTCATTTTCACAAAAAGTATTAAAAAAATAAAATAAAGCAGGTAAATCTTTAACCTGCGTCACCGGACGTTGTTAGTGCTAAGCAGTCTGCAATTGCAGCTTGTGATCAGAGCTGTTGCGCTATATACTTTATCATTATCATTATTCTCATTTAGAGTGTGTTTTGTGTACAATTCACCGAGGGCACGGGCAAAGAATAGGAATCTAGGCCGAGGGAAGCACTTTAAAATGGCACGTGTGAGCTACGATCGTTAACAGGCTGCAAAAGTGCATCGCATGCTTCCGTGTCAGGCTGTTGCTCATCATGACGTGCGTATGTATGTGCGTGCACGGTAACGAGTCGATCGCGGGAGGTTGGTTGATCGAAAAGTCGATATTCGGTCCAAAACGTTTGGGCACCCCTGCTCTTAATTGTCCCTAGGTGTAGGTGTGAGCGTGGATGCTTGTTCGTCTCTATGTGCCCTGCGATTGGCTGGCAACCGGTTCAGGGTGTCCGCCACCTACTGCCTGAAGACGGACGGGTGGGACAGGGTCCA